GAGGCAGGAATCCCCTGCCCCCAGCTTTGGAGACCTGCTGTGACAATGCTCAAGATGAACAGAGTACAATTTTAATCCGCCTGGTGTAGAGGAGCCACACGCGGCTGAACTCACAGGTGGGTGTGTAAGTGTGTAAGCCGGCACCACGGAGGAGGCTTTCTCCTGCCTTGCTAGCAAGGCTCCTTGGTAGGAGTGCACGTCTGGGGCACAGCCAGGGTGGCAGTGTTGACTCACACCCTAAACCCCCCAAGCTCCTGATCTGCAGCCAAGCCTGCTCCTCCCCCACCCAGACCCTCCCCACCAGCCCTAGACCTGCCCGCCTCTGTCTGGAGGGCTCCTCTCCCTCCAGGAGGGGCTGGGCCTGGCCTCTTCCAGAAGGGGTCTCCTGTTTGTTTATATGCAGAGTGAAAAGAGCCCTCCACGTACCTGCACCAATTTGAGAGAAAAGTGAATTGCTTAAAGCTGCAGTTCTCAAACTAGAGGGATTTCCTCCAGGGAACATTTGTTATCCCCCCAAGGGATTTCTGATGATAGGGAATTGAGAGGTGAAGGGGTTTGTAGAGCTGCCTGCATTACTGGGCAGAGACCAATACACTGAGAACATCCTCATGCCTAAGACAGCCCCGGGTGAGAATCTTCCAGCCCCATGTCAGCAGTGCTGAGACTTGAGAGAACTCACTTAAAGGAAAGCTTTCATGACGTGTTTTAGACTTAAAATTATGAGGGCTGAGGTGTGTGTGTGGGGGTGGTGGTAGCTGAGTGTTTGTGCACTCTCTTTGCTTGCATAAGGCCTTGGATTAGATCCAAGGGGTGAGGTGGGGGGACATACACACACATACATACATACATATATATGTATACACACATATATACATTACAATTATTATTTTATAATCATAGAATAAAATAAGAGTTATTTAAAATATAGATAAATATGCTAGAATCCCAAGTATCATCTGTATTTATGGATTGGGGTCTCTGCATATAGTAGTTCTCAGTACCTACTTGTGCAATGAATGAATGAATGACACACTGTTCAAATGTCCTTACTAAACTTGTTAGAATGTGGCTGTTTCCTTCTTGGGGCTATCTACATCTTTTGGGGGTAGCTGGGAGGAGATATTAGAGATCTATTTATTTATTTAGTTACTTACTTACTTAACTTACTTTTCTGCTTTGAGTTTTAGCATAGGGGGCCCTGTCTCCAGCTGTACTTTATTTAATAAAAATGTTGTCAGGCGACCCAGGTTCGATCATCAGCACCACATACAAACTAAGATGTTGTGTCCGCCGAAAATTAAAAAATAAATATTAAATTTCTCTCTCTCTCTTTAAAAAAAATGTTGTCAGATTTCTCAACCTTGTGCTATTGTTTGGGTGAATTTGCCTACAAAAATTTCAATTCACCTATGAAAAAAAAACCGGGCTTGACATTGATATGGATTGTAGCCATAAAGCCATTTTTCACCAAGGAAGAAGTATTTCATAATTGAAAACTTAAATTGCTAAGTATACCCCTTGAGTCAGAAAACCTCAAAGTAGGGTGTTTTACAGTGTTCGACATGGGAGGCAGGGTGAAATCTTGACTCATTTCTGGTACTTCTTGGCATCTACCCCAGTTGCTGTTGGCTTGTAGACTTCTTACACAGTCTGTGTGTTCTTCATGGCATTGTTACCACCTGGAATTCTATAATTTTTTAATTTATTTTTTTAGTGTTAGAGATTGAATCCAGGGCCTTGCACACACTTGGCAAGTACTCTACCACAGAGCTGAATGAATGAATGACTCCCAACTCCAGAAGATACTGTCAACACATTTTATATCTCTTTCCTCCTCTAGATTTGAGTTTTCCAAGGGCTAGGGCATTCTCACCTATTTATTACTCTATCCTCAGTGCCTAGGTTGGCATTGACTAAATGTGTGTTGAATGAGGCCCAGGGACTGAATGACCACTTTTCTAAGACCATACAGAGCCCCATCAGGAGAAATGGTCACATAACTAGTAACCAGATCTAGGCCCTTTGCTTGTGGTGGTCTACCCCACCTCCTCCACACCTACATCCGGGGTGGGGGAGATGCTAGGCTTCCTCTATTTGTGCTGCAGGAGCCACCCCATGAGACTTAGGAGCACCAGGATGTATTATGGAATCATCTTTTCCCAAGCTGGAGGGGCAGCTCAGGGAGTGATCTTGTGATGTAACACATTGGGAGACCAACCTGGTTTGCCTAGGACATAAGAATTTCCTGGGATGTAGGACTTTCAGTCGGAAAAGTTAAACTGTGATGAAATTGATCACACGATGTGACAGTTACATTCTACAAAAATCTACGGTGCCTTACAGTAGATTCCTCCTTTGGAGAATTCTGTCAAGTTGTTAGGGAATCTTGGACTCTCAGTGGTTCAAGGGAGAGACAACTCAGTGATCTGTGAGTCTGAAAGTTGTTGTAGTCTCATGTCTGCATGAGGAATGGGGACAAGAGCAAATTGGTGCATATTTGCCCCTGCTAATAGAAGGTGGCCTGTGCTCAATTTAAGGTGAATGTTGTCCTGTGGAAATGAGATCCCATGTAACCAGAAGAGCTCATTTTCAAAAGAGGCCTGAAGTCTGTACATATGTGTTACAGAGACAGATGGATTTCTACTGATTTTTGATATTGAGAACTACTTTTTCAAAATGTAAACATTATGCAATGCAACAAAATGTAACTGCAGGCCAGTCTGGTTCAATGGCCATTGATTGACAGCTGCTGATAGAGTCTAACGTTGTACAAAGGAGGAAATGGAAACAGAGTCCAGTGAGGGCAGAGCAGGGCTGAAGAAGCCAGGCCTTTTGCCCAGACTAAATACTAGTTTCTATTGAAGATTAGTTAATATTTTTATGGTGGAGGAACTTGTAAAAGAAAAAACTGGTTGAGCATCTACTGTGTTTCAGACCATTGCTTCCTGATTTCAATGTAAACGATCACGTCCAATTTTCATAATATACCTTTGAGCAACTTTCTCTCTCCATGCCTGTTTTCTCAGATGCACCTAATACCAGCATATAACTTATGAGGTCATGGTAAAGATTAAAGGAATTAATTCCATATCAAGGGCCCGAAAGCACAAAGTAAGCAGGTTTTGGCTCTCACTATCACTGATACAGACGATGTCATCTTCATTGTGCATGTGAAGAAACTGATTTCTCAGAGGTTACCTAACTTGTCCATGATTGCCCAGCAATAAATCAGAATCAAAGTTGAATACTGGGTGTCTGACTCTAAGTCTTTGCCTACTTGCTTTAGCAGTGAGCTGATGTTTTACATTCAAGATAAGAAAAATGAAAAGTTCAATTTTTATCAATGGCAACCGTGATCAGAAGTTAAGTTTGGTGATTTTTCCTTTTCCTGTGAGCCCAGACTCATCTGCAGTGATGGAAGGGAAAACGTTACACAGATAATAAAAACGGTGGGTAATAAAAATAATTTCAGCTTGGGCATTCATTATGCAATTTGGAGGCAGATAATTTATCTTCCTAATTATGTTTTACTTAAGTTGATTTTAAAATTGGCTTGTTTATCCTGAGCGCACACTGATTAACAGCAGGGAGAGGTGGCCTAGAAACATCTTAGGTGGTAGAAACTGAAGATATTTTGAAATCTGAGGGAATTTCCATGGATAATTCTCATGTAGCTAGTTTCTATTGAAGACTGGTTAATATTTTTATGGCGGAGGAACTTGTAAAAGAAAAAACTGGTTGAGCATCTACTATGTTTCAGACCATTGCTTCCTGATTTCAGTGTAAACGATCACATCCAATTTTCATAATATACCTTTGAGCAACTTTAAAGAGAGTGAATTTGAGCAACTCAAGGCTGATATATTGAGGATACTCTGGGAATAATAACTATTGTGATTGGTTGTTGGGAGTATTTAAATACAGGTTGCAGACTTGAAGAGGTGAATGGACTCCATGCTTCTGGTTCATTCTTCAGAGCTAAGCAGAGTTCAGACAGTCAAGGTAGGTAGGTCCAATAAAGAGAGGCGAGCCAGCTGGAGGTGACCCCAACAGTTTCCTTTCCATTGCTATCCACAGACGATTAAATGCCTATTACGTACTGTGAATTTTGCCAGTTGCTGAGGATACCAATGAATAGGGCCATTGTCTGCCCCTGTGCAACTCCACAATCTAGTAAGGAAAACAGATATTGCAGCCCAGTTGAATCAGTGCTGAAAAAAAAAAAGAGAGAGAGACAGGATTAGAGCAGAAAGAGTACAGGAGAGAGGGAATCTCTTTGCCTTAGGGCGGCAGCATCCATCCCTCACGCCTCCTTTACTCATTCAGTTTCTAGGGTGGGGCAGGGGAGAAGTACAGCAGTGAGTGGGAGGGCTAGAGGTTGGGTGTGGGTGCTAGGGCCCCTGCAGGCTCAGAGTCAGCAGGTCTTTGTTTCAGCATATGGGGGCCACTAGCAACAGACATGGGAACGGGCATGGGGAGTCAGGGCAGCTCTCCGGTTCCTCTGCAGTTGGCATCTTTAATGGTTCCAAGTAGCTGCCCTCTGGCTCACAGAGGGACAGTGGCTCCTGGGCTCTGACAACTTCCTTTGATGGCCCCTCCAGCTTCAGGAAGTTACCAGCTGCCCCACGGTCCCCTGGTTGGTGGCTCAGTTTTCCAAGTGCCTATAAAACCAATGCCTGTGTGAAGTTCATCTTATTTAAAGACAGAAAGTGGTTTCTGTATTTCTGGGTGGGCTCTGCTGAATATCAGTAGAGCTGATATTTGAGTTGGTTCTTAAAGAATGAAAAGTTGGCCTGGGGTTGGGGCTCAGTGGTAGAGCGCCTGCCTCGAACATGTGAGGCACTGGGTTCAATCCTCAGCACCACATAAAAATGAAGTAAAGATATTGTGTTCACGTACAACTAATAAATAATAAATAAATAAATGCATCGTGTCCATCTACAACTAAAAATATATTAAATACCTTCTCTCTCTCTTTTCTAGGTAGACATCCAGGGAAGTTTGTGTCCTAAATATACTTGCAAGTGTGAGACTCTCCACTATGGGGTTCCCAAAGGCACAGACAATCCCATCAGTGGGGAGACACTAAAAGACTTTCAGAAAGAAGATGAAATATTTAGTTATTTTAGAAACTCATTTAACCAGTTCTGCTCAGAGAAGATTAGTAAAGAAAAGAGCAGGGTGGGCAGGTAGACGAGTGAAGAGACAAGCACCATGATTCAGGGCAGAAGTCACTGAGCTTAAGACTATGTACAACACTTGATGGCTAAGGAGGAGAGGGCACACCCTACCTGTTATTCTCTTATTTCCAAGAAAAGAAATCTCTTATTTTCCTGGCCCATAATAGGTGCTCAGTAAATATTTGTTGAGTGCTTTAATAATATTTGAGTAACTTATTTGTGTTACAAAACCTTAGTTGTGCCCTTTCTTCCCCAATATTGCTTCCCCCTAGCTGAAACTTTGCTTGGCCTGTCCCATGGAGTTCACTGCACGCTGTCCTCAGGTTTCTGCTTCCCCTTTCAGGTCATCCTGGAATTCACACTGCTTCCAGACCCCTCTCTCTACTTCCTTAATATAGTTCCTTCATTAGAGCCATTCAATAAGCAGGTATTTATAAATACTCAAAATGGACATTTACTAAGCATTTAAAACCTGCCAGGCACCTGCTAAACACGTACCACACCTTTGTCTCAACCCTCCCCATGGCCCAGTGATGTAGTTAACTTTCTTCATAGAGGATAGAGGCTGAGGAACTTGTGGCAGGTCACACAGCTAATTAGTGGCAGAGCTGAAATTCATACTCAGGTACACAACTCGAAAGCCCAGGTTTTGAGCACTAGAATAGACTGCCCAGCACTGTGCACTGTGTGTAGCTGGGGATATAAGGAAATGTTAAGACAAACCCATTGGGAAAAAAAGATAAATACACCAAGAGTAAACTCGATGCTAAAAATGCATCATAACTCAAGGCAACAAAAGAAGAGCTGCCACAGGCCAGGATGTGATGACTACCAGTCTGAATGGTAGGGAAAACAGGGAGGGAGGTCATCCTGGTCTAAGTAATCAAGGAGGCTCAAGGAAGGAGGTCAGGTTTGACTTGTGGCTTTCCTGCTATTTAAGGAGACCTGTGACTTCCTTTGAAACAATGAAAGAGCAGTTAGTAGGTCCCTAGTGGACTGATTGTAAATTGCAGCGGGAAGTTAAAGGAGGGAGAAAAATTCATATGAACTGGAGCAGGGCATCTGCTTGGTGGTCCAGCTCTGGGCTCCTGCGGATGGAGCCTGGATGAGTTCCTGGGTGGAATGGCTTTGATCACCCCACGGAAGACCCATTTTGTACATGCATATTCTTGGGTTGAAACAGACTTTTTTCCTGGGACTCCATGTTTTCCTTTAAGTGTGGCCTTTCCCCACATCACCTGTGATCATAGCAGGGAAAATCCTTCCATTGGAGCTGAGAAAAGGGCACCATCTCTCCCAGCCCAAGGGGTGACAGTAACAGAGGAGACTGAATTTACTTACTTGTGGTGTATACTCATTAGGTAACACAGAAAGATATCCTCAAGAACTCCTAGAAGAAGAAGTTGGAGAGTCTCAGCGGTGAGGTGAGAGGACGCCTGTGCATACAGTAATCTCTGTACCTTCTTAACCTGCCTGTCATTTTTTCCCTTGGGGAACTCCTTTCCTATTCTATATGGTCTAAAGTGGTCTTGATCCCATATGCTGTCTCCTACCATAGAGGAAAGGGTATAATGCATCTGGTCACTCAGATTCTGCCATCCCTCCTGCCATAGTTGTTGAGCTGAGCCTGGAAAATGGGTAGGCCCCTCCTCTCCAGCTGGGCTAGCCTTGAGCTGCAGGAGAGCACCATTTACCATGGCAGGGCTGCACAGGAACCATCGCTGGGGAACGTTCTGCAGGCTCATGAGCTCTTGGCTCATACCTACCCAGGGTATGAGTGATGAGTCTTCTCTGGTTTCTTACTGGGTGTACGTTCAGACGCTCAGAGGATAGTGTCTCTCTCTGGTGATTTGGGGCCTTCACAGTGTTAGTCTGGTTATTCCAAGGAAGCTTAAATTTACTTGCTGGAACAGAAACCCATAATGGTTACATTTAAGGTTAAGATTATACTTTGCTTCCTGAGGCAGAAGCACATAATAGAGGCATAAATCACCAGAGGGGATTTGAGGAGGGAAAACAGTCATGGCTGCACATTGGCCTTACTTTTTGGCATTCTGTTAAAGCAAAAGGACGTTATAAATATGTTGACAATTATTTTTCACCCAGAAAGATTATACCAGCTTACATTTTCACGAAAGATCTGGGAGTATCTTTTTCTCACTGGCTTCACCAAACCCAGGTATTTAAATTTTTTAAAAAATCAATTTGATAGATAAGAAGTTACATTGTTGTTATTCTGGTTCTTATTTTTTATTTCTAAAGAGTTGGGGTCATTTTCATATTTATTATCCATTTATATTTCTTCTTTATTATCCATTTATATTTCTTCTCTGGGTAATTTTGCAATTTCCTGTTGGTATATACATCACTTTCTTGTTAACTTTTTAGTGTTCTTTGTATAATAAGGACCTCTCAAACTTATCTACCTTAGAGATTGCAAATATTCTGTCATTTTCTTTGAATTTTTATTATGATTTCAAAACTATTATTGCAGTATAATTTATATACAGCACAATACATACACTTGAAGTGTGTAAGTCACCAAATTCTGATAAATGTATATATTCAAGGTACTATGACCACAATAAAAATAGAATATTTCTGTCACACCAAAAAATTTACTTGTGCCATTGTATATAGATCAGATTTCCCGATTGATGAGTTTGTTCTTATTCTAGAACTTCCTATTCATGGAATTGTATAATATGTACTTATTTCACAAAGTATATTGATTTTTAAGCTTCTTCATACTGTTGTATGTATCAATAGTTTGTTCTTTTTTCTTGTTGTGTAATATTCTGTTATATGACTATACCACAATTTGCTTATCCATTCACCTTTTGGTGAATATAGGGTTTTTTTTTTTTCCGGTTTCAATCTATTATGAGTCACACTGATATGGACATTTGAGTACAGATCTTTTTGTGGGCATGTGTTTTCATTTATTTTGAGTAAATATCTAGAAGCAGAATTGCTAGATCATATGGTGTTTAACTTTACAAGACACTAGCAAACTCATTCTCTACTCCCACCAAAGTTGAGAGTTTCAGTTGCTCCAAATGTTTTTCAACCTTTAGTACATTTAGTATTGTAGTCTGCTTAATTTTAGCCATTCTAATAGATATTTTTGGGTATTTTGTTGTTTACTTGTGCTTCTCTGATGACTAGAGCTGTAAACATTGTTTTATGTGCTTATTGGATATTTGTATATCTTCTTTTGCTATTGTTTTAAATATTTTGTTCATTCTTATTGAGTTGTCTTATTTTTGAGTTGTTAAGAGATTTTTATTTGAGGATAACGTAATCACACATGTAAGCAATTCTATGGAGTATACCCCCCCAAATAAATAAACTTTCCTAGAACTAATAACTGAATTTAGCAAGGTTGTAGGATACAAGGTCAATATCCAAGAATCAATTGTTTTTTTATATGCCAGCAACTAAAAATTGGAACATGAAATTTAAATTATCATTCATACTATTATCAAAACCCTAAACTACTTAGGGATAAATTTAAGTAAAATATATCCAAGAAAATCTATGCAAAAACTATAAAATACTGCTGAGAGAAATTAAAAGATATGCTTTAGTGAAGGAGTATGCTATGTTTATATATTAGATTTACTATTTGTAAGATGTCAGTTTTCCCCAAATGTAGATTTGACTAACCCCAATCAAATCTTTCAGGCTATTTTATAGAAATTGATTGACAGGTTCACTCTAAAATTTATATTGAAGCAGAAAGCATCTAGAAATGTTGAACATTTTATAAAAAAGAAGAACAAAGTAGAATGACTTGTGCTGATTTCAAGACTTAGAATAAGAGCTGGGGGTATAACTCAGTTGGTAAAGTGCTTGTCTCACATGCAAAAGCCCTGGGTTCAATCCCCAGCACCACCACACACACAAAAAAGAGACTTAGAATAAAATTATGGTAATCAAGTCAATGTGGTATTAGTGAAAAAACAGATCAATCAAACCAAAGAGAGTCCAGAAACAGACCCAGAAATATATGATCTTTTACAAAGATCACTTTAATGGGGAAAAGAGTCTTTTTCAACAAATGGGTGGGAATAATTGTATATCTGTATGAAAGAAAAATGTTCCTCAACATGAATTTCAACCACTGCAAAGATCAAATTAAAAGAATCCAGAGTCTAAAACATAAAAGCTGAAATTTTAAAATTCTGGAAAACAAATTAGAGAAATATTTCTGTGACTTTGGGAATACACAGAGTTTTCTTAGAACATAAAAATTACTAAACATAAAAAAAACAAAAATTAAATTTTATCATAATTTTCTGCTCTCAAAATAATTAATAAAATGAAAAGGTGAGCCATGGTTTGAGAGAACATGTAAAATATATATATTTGATGAAGAGCTCGTATTATAGATGTTTTTGATATATAAAGCTTTAAAATTTTTATAAAATCAAATTTATCAGTCTTTTTTTTTGTGACTTATACTTTTGGCATTGTTCTTAGATTCTATTAACCCCAAATTTATAAAAATATTTATTTACAATTTTCTGACTTTTAAAAAAAATATATTTTTTAGTTGAGATGGACATAATACCTTTATTTTATTTTTATATGGTGCTGAGGATCAAACACATGTGCGAGGCAGGCACTCTACCACTGAGCTACACCCCTAGCCTGTCTGACATTTTAATAAATGTTAAAATTATAATCTAACATCAAGATATTTCAAATTTTATTATTTCTGAATTAACTTTCAAAATGTTCTCAAACTGGGAAGGGAGTGTCGCTGTGTGGTAGAGTACTTGCCCGGCATATGTGAGGTCCTGGGTTTAATCCCCAGCACACCAAAAAAAAAAAAAAAAAAAAGAAAACAAACTAAAATAAAAACAAATTATCCTAATACTATCTATTGATGTTCCATCTGTCCTCCCAATTTGAAATTCTATATTTATTAAATCTTAAATACTTATGGACACTTGGGTCTGCTCTGGGTTGTTTATTCTGTTTTCCAGCCATGGGAATAGCGAAAGATTCTTATTTTAATTTTTTTTGGTACCCTGTGAATGCTGATGTTTTTTTCTCTCTTTCTCTCTTCCTTCTATTCTTTTTCTCTCAGCTGCTTCTCTTTCCACCTCCCTCCCTCCCCTCCTCTTTCCTCTCTTTTCCCTAAAGATTATGTTGACTTCTAATTGTTCTCCATGCCAGCCACCTTTTCCCCAAATCATCTTGCTGTTACATTTGGGTTTCGTGAGAACCTAAACTGTGTTTACTTGGAGAGAGAATGCAGCAATGGTGGTGTTCAAGCTAATGGAAAGCTAGTCTGTTTATTACCCAGTAATTCCAATGGGTAGGGAGAAAAATTTGTCACCTTTTCAAGTTATAGGAGTCTAATTTATAAATTGCCTTTCCCAGGGTCCAAGCCTGTCATTGTCCCACGGAATTATTAATAATTCAAAATAGTTCTTAGGGGTATTTGACTTACTTGCACAAAGAGTTGGTTCCATATTTGCTTTAACAAGACCTAAGGACTAAATAGGGTTGACTTCAAATAAAAAGACAGGTTAAAAGAGAACATTAATCTTACTCATGGGAAATGATTTTTGTTTTACTTTTTCAAAGTAGCCATTTGCCATTGATTTTACCCATGAGGCAGAGAATAAAAGCCAGAGAAAGAACAAGCAGAGTACCTCTGGAACTCAATTTTGGGGTGGAAGTGAGGGTCAGAAGTGGGATTAAGGGGACCATAGGAGAGCACAGCAATTTGGGTGGAGAGAGGACTGGAGAGATGACTTGCATAGCAATCCCCGTCCTCTGATAATAGTCTCTCTCCACATTTCTTTGGTTTTGGGGGAGATTTTTCTTCAATTTATTGAGAGAGAGGATTTTTATATAGGGTGTTCATATGACTCCGTTGAAGTAATGGACAAGAGCCCTTTGTAGTGGTGTGGACATGCCTTATAAATTTAAGAAGGTATTATTGTGCTTCTGAATGTATAAGGAAGACTGAAAAAAATTATTTATTTACTGAAAACTGTTGATCGTGAGACTTAAAAAAAAATCTCCATTTCCCCTCAAATAACCACTCTTAACAGTTTGGTACCAATTTTTCCAGTCATTTCTTATAAGACAGAAATGGGCCACTTCCACCACAAGGATATAATAAGTAGTTTCTTCCCCCAGTTCAAGGACTGGCTGAGCAGCTGTTTCACAAAAATCTGGCCACTCTCCTTCTCCCTATCACAGACTCTGCCCAACTGGCCAGTAAATTAATAAGACTTAATGTTATCCAGGCTTTTAGTCAGAAATTATAAAATTATAGGCCAAAATCTCATAAAATTGTTAGGAGTTTATGGTATATGGAGTCACATTTTCAGAACTCCATGTTCTTTACAAGCAGAGCTTCCTCACGATTTGTAGCTTTCCCCCCTGGATCAGTCAAATGTGGCCTTGTGATCCCATGACCTTGTTGTCTTCTTTGTATTCTGCTGTCATCTGTTAAGGACATTGAAGGCCAACCTCTAATCTTACTTTCTAGTAAATAAATGGTGCACATGGCCAGGATGAAACTCTAAATAGCTTAGTGCTGTGGAATCGGGTGCAAGAGAGTTCTGCAGGAGGAGGAGGAAGAGAACAGCAGTTGGGGTGACTTGGTGGACTTCAGGATGAAATAACCACACAGCATGCTTCCTAGCTGTGGAAGGTAGGCACTGTGGAGTCTAGTCCAGCTCTTCTGTAAATGAGCCAAGTGGGCAATGCTCAGTTAGGCGGCTTCAGAATTTTGGGCCACTTTTGTTCATAACAGGATTAGCAATGCATGTGTTGTGCCCATCTCATGGTGTTCTTATAAAAATTGTGCATGATCAGAAATGCAATATGACTTTGTAAAGTACAAAATGATGGGGATTCTTTTAGGGATGGTACCTTTTGTCCCATTCACTCTGAGAAAAATAAAAAAGCCAAATCATAGGTCGAAACTACAAGTTTACTTCTACTTGCTCAGCCCTCCCAACTCATTTATTTTGTGCCTGCCAAGACACAAAGTCGAGGAGGGAGAGCTGAGAAGAATCACTCATCTCTCAACTTAAAGGACTAAATGGTGATAAGAAATAGTATTAACAGTAACCTCATATTCAAAGCTCTGCCTTTGCTCTGCTTCTTGCCTCTTACATGTGAGAACCAATGTTCCCTCCACCACCCCAACTTGCAGTAGTGTTAACAGAATTCACTGGAAGCAGAGAATGTTGGTTATGAGAAGGGTGGGAAGGGAGTGCACATGTCTCTGTGGCAGGGAAGGGACACAGCAGGAGCCCTTGAGGGTATCAGAAATTCCCTAGGCAAAGCTTTGGGGAAGTTCTGCACCTCTCTGAAAATCCATGAACTTGGATATTGTGATTGTTGCTGGTCACGGGCCCAACTCCTGAGCCTGCTGGGGGCACATAGCAGTGGTAACAACTGGCTTGGTGGGAGAAATAAGGTCCTGATAGTGTTTGCCAAATTCTCTGGTGTAAATGCTCCCACCATAGCTGAGTAGTATTCCCACCCATGAAGATTCACTAGACATAAGTGACTTTAGGTGCATGGAGAAGAGGAAGTGTAATGAAATAATTAGGATAGGATGAGGTTTAAGTATCAATTATTTTTGTTTGTAATATAATTTAATTGTATGTCCATATAATTTAATATTGCCATATTTATTAATTTAATATAATTTAATAAAGACAACAATGACAACCATCTTACAGAATTCCTGAAATTTTGACACTCGGCTCCCACGAGGCAGTACAAACCAGTTCTAGCATGTCATCAGGTCCAAAGGAAAAGACAAAAATCTGAATGTGTAAGTATGATATAATATCCAACCTTTACAGAGAGTAAAAGGTTCCTGACTACCATTCATTCATCACTACCCTGGCAGGAGAAGAGCCTTAAATGGAGTTTATGACAAACAACAGGGTTATTTATTTATTTATTTTGATGCTGAGGATTTAACCCATGGTTGTTCTACTACTGAGCTATGCTCCTAGATATGTTTCAAAAATATTTTTTAGTAGTCAGTGGATCTTTTCTCTCTCTCTCTCTCTCTCTCTCTCTCTCTCTCTCTCTCTCTCTCTCTTCCTTCCTTCCTTCCTGTACTGAGGATAAAACCCAGGACCTCACACATGCCATGCAAGCATTTTACCACCGAGCCACAACTCCAGCCCCACCTACCCCGGATATTTTTAATTTTTATTTTGAGACAAAGTCTCAGTAAATTGCTGAGGCTGACCTCAAACCTGTAATCCTCCTGCCTCAGCCTCCCAAAATGTGGGGATTACAGGTATGTGCCACCACATCTGGCACAACAGGGTTTCTTTAATGAACTACTACAACCAAAACCAGTAGCCTTTCCTCAGCTGTCAAAAATTTTCCATGTTATCTTATGGATTCAACCATATCCATCTAGTAGAGAAGAGACCTGGGAGGCCGGTTGATAGAGAGGGTGAATTTTGAGATGTAAGGAAGACAGGAGTTTGGTCTGGACATGTTGCTCAGTGGTAGAGCATATGCTTTGCATGCATGAGACCCTGGGTTTAATCCCTGGAACTGGGGCAGGAAAAAGGATGGAAGATGGGACCTGAACAGAGTCAAATAGGATACCTCCAGAAGGTTTTAGAAGCCAACTATGGTATTTGAATGCTGGATGCACAGTTTGGGAAAGGAAGCACCAAAAATGATGGGGGGAAAACCAACTCCTTGCAATTCATGATTCTGCCCTGCGCTGGTCCTGGCACAGTTCTTGAAGAACTATGTTCCCTTGTGAGATTCTTTCAGTAAAGAAAAAAAAAATTCTTATAAAATTGGACTCGCAGAATTCAGGCCACAGATTTGTCCTCCACCCTATAATGGGACATAAAATGAGAAGGACCTGAAGTCTAGGTCCTACTCCATTCTTCCCCATGGAGTACACACAGAGAGAAAATTGGCCAAGTGCCATTTCAGTCCATTATCAATCCAATCTACTTCTTTTTGAGTGGGAGCAGTGTTAGAAATGTAGTCCTAAAAATAACATTGAAAGATGTGCCCTTCTAAATCACACCTATGTAAAGCCAGGTTAAAGTTTTCACGTGTGTGCACACGTATGTATGCATGTGTAGGGTGGAATGAGAGGATGAATGATATCTAGTGTGTAATAGTAATTTTCTCTCCTATTTTTATAATTTCTTTTTAGGCAGGAGATGCAACTTGATCAGGGAGAGGGATGAAAGGAGCCTGTGCTGCTGAGGACCTGCCAGGACCTATCAGGACCCAGGTACTGTGCATAGCACCTTTTCTCCATTATCTCATACAATGCTTGCAAACCTTGGAGGCAGGTGATTTTATCACAGAGAAAGGGTAACCAGCCCAAAGTCAAACAGTTAGGAAGAGAGAGAACTATGCTTTAAACCAACCTAGTAGACACCCAAAGTCACTGTCTTTTTCTCTATGCTGTGCTGCTGTTCAGCACTTTGTTCATCAGACCAGAGATTGCCAGAGGAGTTGGGTCGTCATCATCTCAGCATAACCAGCACCAGAACAGTGCTTAGCACAGAGTAGAGTTCACAAACTTTTGCTAAATGTAATGATTTCAAAGCAAAAACTTAGCATCTGAATGTTTGGCAGCATGTGAATTGGGACGACTCTGCCACTCTCTTAGGTGCAGTGAGTTGAAGTGATTCTGTCCCAAGAGTCAAGACATAAAACCAGAGAATGGCAGACGTTACTCCCCGTACCTGTAGTAACGGTTATTGGTTTATTCATAAGTGTGGCCCTGTTTGCCGGCATTCCTTGGCACACTTTGAAATCAGATGCCATTTGATGATAAAGATGTGTTGGATCGCACACCGCATCATGTCTATTTGTGGCTTCTGAGCACAAGAGCACTTGATACTATTTGAGAAAACCCAATACAGGAATAGCTGGATTTCAAAAGAACTTGCAATTGATGTTTGTACTTCAAAATTGTTTACCATGAGCTTCCTTTAGTCAGTCATAGAGTATGAACTCTGAACTCTGAATCAACACTCACAGGCTGATTTGAAGACCTCTTTCCTGCTGTGTGCTGAAGTTGATGGGGGAAGCAGAGACCACCATCCACACCCACCCACTCCTGGTACAAGTAGACCCTCAGGTCTCCCCTTCTCCTTTCTCTCCCGGAAGAGAAACATCCCCTGAATCTATTCCTAGGAAGTCTGGTAGAGGGACAAGCTGGCTGCCTCCGAGAAAGGACATTTGCATGGAAGAGCATAAGCTGGGGAAAGCTGAGAGGACGAGTAGAAGGAATTGGGACATTTTTAGGAATGTCACCTCCAACCCAAGAAACACCCATCCCGGGGAGTGAGGCCCACCCCGTGGGACTGTGAGAGAAACATGGTCCCCATTGACAGAGCCCCCACCTGTTTACACTAACAGCTTCCATCACCCAAGAGGGTAAATTGAGCTGATTCTTTGATGATGAGGAAGTTAAGTGGAATGTGAGAATCCTCACTGCTGACGTCAAGCTTGCCTTTCATTTTATTTATACCCATGACATTGTGACACGGGATCTAATTTTCCATTGTATTTTTTCCTCTGTTAGGAACCAAGTGATGACAAGTGAATTTGTGTCTGAGCTTGGAAAAAAAAAGTATTTTAAATTTAAAATCAGAGACCATACAGGAATCTGTGTCTATCTCTTTCTTCCCACAGCCCCCTCTTCCCTTTAATGGCTAAACTAACCATCCAGAAAGCCAAGGGAGCACACTCCTGCAGGGCATGGCTGCCTGAGAAGTCAGGGCTGCCAATATCTAGTTGCCCACTCCTTACCCATGACAGGCTGTTCCTTCCTGGCACGGGTGCTGGAGAGAGGCCAGGAGCAGTGAGGCCACACAGCAGCCTTGGCACAGAGCCTCAGCTGCTGTCCGGGCATGCAACAGGGCTCTGGCTCCTCAAGTGTGGTTCCAGCTCCCTGACCCAGAACTGCTCATGCAGGGGCTGCCCAGCTGCCTGAACTCTGGTGCAGTCCCACTTCTTCTGCCCCTTCAAGGCACCAGGACAATAAAGGAGCAGAGATGAATCTAGAAGGAATGGTTGGGACAAGTTATACCCCATGTGTAGAAACAGCTTTGGGAGATATCCCATAGTGGAGAGAATGGTATGTATGTCCAGTAAGTGAGGAGAGTGGACTTATCCAAAATTCTAGTACTATTGCTGAAGGAGGGGCCTTGGCCCTACCAACCGCCTCCCTCTGTTATTACTTAGGGCCTTGAACCCACAGACAGCTTCTCTAACCAGGATCTCTCTTCCTGCCCTGAAATAAAAACTCCCCCTGGGTCCCCATGTGCCTGCTGCTCTTCCAGCAGGGCCTCCTGTCATCAGGTTTGCAACAATGTTTTTCAGCCTCTGACCCCAGAGAAATCAGACTTCCTTATACTCAGTCCAGAAGATGTTTGTTATTCAAGATTCTGATGCAGAGATAAGGGAGGCCTCAGGCCTTTCCAGTTAGTAAACCAGCAGGGTCTGAGGATTTAAAGAAACCAAGAAGTACAAAGACAGACACCCCCTGCAAGGCGGCGACACAGGGTCAACTCCTGTCACCTGAAATCTTCCAGATATTTAGAAATGAGTGTCAGTGAGTTCCACTACATCGACCTTGGTTGTTGTGTTTGGTTTTGTATTGCTTATGTTTGTTCGGAAACAAAGGTTTCCAGGAGCACCAGCAAAATGGGATATGTGTTTATTGAATCTGTTTTAGTTCATTCACTTGACTTAGTGCTGCCTTCTACTTCTCTGTCACTTTTCTCTGGCAATCGAGGTAAAATGGCATGCAATCAACTGTTATCCAGAGGGAATACCTTTCCAGACGACTTGGTATCCCAACCATCACTGGGCTACAGGCTCAGGACTTGCTGGGAGGGGGTTGTCTTCTTGCAAAACAGTTCAGCACAAGTCTGGAATTCCAACAGCAGTGGCCCACATTAGACCCAATTCTGAAGGCCTGTCTGTTCCCTCCAGACAGGTCTACCATGAGCTTTCTACTAGGTGCTGGGGCAGAGATGGGAGCCAAGAGAGAGGAGGTATGAATGAGACATGGGCCATTCCCTGAGGCCAAAAGCATAGGAGTAACACAAGTTTGCAGAGAATAGTAATGGCGGCAAGAAAGGCCAAGGGTGGACTTGGCATGTAACTGAAAACTCTAGGTTGTATTCTGGGATGCTGGTGTCAACCAGCAGTCCTTTCCCAAAGGCTCATTGGAGGGCTTTTTGGGACAAGTGCACAAAATTTATAGTCAGTCCTAACAATGAGAATTTGCCCTTGCCAATGAGTTCCTGGACAAATGTTGAAGCCTCTAGTTTGGAGACCATTGTGGAGACTCATTGGACTACAGGACCAGGGTCATTAATCAGGTGAAGAGAGAGTGGTAATTTCAAGGAAAGGAGGTAGTATGTCTGGAAGAGGACGAATCAGTGTGTTGTGATTTGGATGTGAGGTGTCCCCCAAAAGCTCATATGTGAGACAAAGTTTAGAGGAGAGATGATCAGGTATGAGAACCTTAATCCAATCAAAGAATGAATGCCCTGATGGGATTAACCGTGTGGTAGCTGAAGGAGAGTAAGGTGTGGCTGGAGGAGGTGGGTCCCTGGGGCATGACTTTGGGTTATATATTTGTAGCTGGGGAGTACAGCCTCCCTCTCTATTTTCTGATCATCACATGAGCTGCTTCCCTCCACCACACTCCTGCCATGATGTTCAACCTCACCGTGTGTCCTGAGACATGAAGCTGGCTGTTTATGGACTGAAACCTCTGAAACCATGAGCCCCAAATAAACTTTTCCTCCATTAAAATTGTTCTTATTTGGTCTTTTAGTCACATCAGCATATAGGCTGATGAAAACACAGTGGCCCCGTGGCTGTGCAGAACTGGACTCTTGTCCCCATCCTGAAACTCATTGCAACAGAGCTTTTCCAGTTGTGGTGTGTCTAAGAATGTCCTATCAACCCCCCGGAGATGTCCTGCTGCAACGTGGGGTTTTACAAATGTATGATCCTGCAGATTCCGTGAGGGCTTAAAGTGTCATGGTATGCAGAGGGCTGAGCACAGGGTCAAGGCTCAAACCTTTTAATTTTCTTTCCTCCTCCCATGACTTGAAATGTAGCCCTATCTCATGTTACCTATTTTAGCTCTAAGAGAACATATTCCTGAGTTGTAAACTTCCTGGGAAAGTCAGGTTGCTAAAGTACAACCCTACACCTAGAGCAAAAAGAGTTGATGTGGAGTGATTCATGATACTTAAATGGGATCTGGTCAAGTCAGTGTCTATAGATAAGAAATGTGGATACCATTTCCTAAGAGCAGGTGTGTGTGTGTGTGTGTGTGTGTGTGTGTGTGTGTGTGTGTGTGTTTTCCTCAATCACACCCAGTTCAGAAATGTCATAGAATTTAAACCAAAGAAGGTATGGGTTAGGTTTTGGGAGCAAAATGGGCATTTGACCAGTTCAATTACAACCACATCTATTGAGTGCTCTTTCTGTGCTGAGTGCTGTGATAGGTGTTGGAGAAGCTGAGGTGAAGAAGACTTGCTTCCTGCTCTTAGGAGCACACAGTCTCACTGGGAGATGGACGTACAAATGTCCATAGGGCAGTGGGATAAAAGCCACACCAAAGGCCTGTACAAAGGGCAATAAAAACTCCCCAGTTCTGTTTGGGGAAGTCAGAGAAGGTCACAGTAGCCAGCGATGTCAGAGCCAAGCCTGGAAAGGAAACTTCTAGAGAATTAACAGAACTGGAGGATAAATGAACAAAACTCCTTTAAGAAGTTTTTTATTATTGTTTTTAAGCTCTGACCTAAATCATTGTTATAGGCGTCCAGAAGATATGAGGCCACGTGGTGTTGAATTTGATTTAAAATATTACATAAGCCATTATATATAGAAACACATATGGAAACAATCTGAAAATATTTCTCCTTAAATATAGTGCCATTTGCTTTTGTGAGTTTTCTATTTCTGGATGAATGTGTGAAATATGGTTTGGTCTTCTGAGACTCAGAAGAAATTACATCACCATCCCAAGCAAAAATGATTTCAGTTGCTGATTTGGTCATTCATTTATTTTGTCAGTCAATAAACATTTAGTTAGAAAGTTCAACTTGTGAAGTCCTGCAATCAGTCAGTCAGGGACACAAAAACACATAAGACACTGTCCTGCCCTCAGGATCCTTCGAACCCAAAGAGTAAGAAAAAAATACCTAACCATAAATAATTCTGACCCAAATGGGTAATGATATCTGAACATGCAAACATAGTGATCCATGGGTCAAGAGGAAAACAATCTGTTTAATGGTTGGGTTGACCAGAGAAAGTTTGACTATTTATGGAGAAGGAGCTGTTTGCATTGGCCATGTAGGGTGGGAAAGGACTGGATGTACAGAAACATGAGTGGGACTAGCTCTCTTAGGCTGAGGAAAATCTGTGAACAAAATAGGTGGGTAACTTGAGATCAGTTGTAAATGGCGCTTTGTTGGGGTTAGGAATATAACTTGGTGAAAGAGCTGGCATAGGTCGATGCCAGCCTCACAGAAAAGCTTGAACACGATTCCCCCTGCTGTGACTACTTGGAATTTGACATGCCAAGTATTTGTCACGTGGTTCCTTGGACATTTGTTTCAGTTGGCATCTCAGACTTGACCTTAGACTTAGCAAAATTTTGTCTAACCTACGATATGTTGTTTACAAAAATATCCCTCTATGTAGTACTAGTAATATCACAATGTGGCTCCAAATGGTTTTAAAGGTCACAGATTGAAAGTAGAGCCTTTTCTTCAGGAATTTATATTTCCACATCTGGAGGTTGAAGGACATGGGTTTTGAATCACAGGCCACTCAGAAAAAGGCTGAATGCTTATTTACACAGGTGTGGACAGAGTCAAGGGATGGCATAGTGCCTGTGGGCTAGTGAAAGCCAGGAAACGGCTCCTACCCCTAGGCAGGTAGTAGTGTAACACAGGAAGAAGGAGATATTGGATCAGGGAAGGAGGTCTGGGCTGTCATGCTTCCAATCCTGTGCTGATTGCTACCAGTTGTCTGAAAACCTGCCTGGAAGTGAGAGGGCAGGGGCCCATTGATCCACCCTACAGATTGGCTTCTAGGATGCAGGGTGGGGGAAGGAAGGACAGAGAGCCAATTGGGAGGGACAATCAGACGTTGAATAAAAAATCCCAGCACAAGCTGGGTAGGCTAGCTCATACCTGTAATCCCAGCTGCTCAGGAGTCTGAGGCAGGAAGATTGCAAGTTCAAGGCCAGCCTCAGCAATTTAGTGAGGACCTGTCTGAAAACAAAAAATAGAAATGTAGATGTAGACCAGGAACCCACCTCTCTCAAATTTCTCAGCATAACCCTCTCTAGTGTTAATATTCTTGTGTGTGTGTGATAGAGAGAGAGAGAGAGGGGAGGGGGAGGTGGGTACTGGGGATTGAATTCAAGGGCACTTGACCATTGATCCATATCCCCAGCTCCCATTTTGTATTATATTTAGAAATGGGGTCTCACTGAGTAGCCTAGCCCCTCGTTTTTGCTGAGGCTGG